TGACTGACTGTTTTAATTCTCTTCCAACATCCAACGTTATCGACACAATTATCAATATTATCTATTACAAGTATTTCAAAAACATATACAGTCGACTCCCGTTAATACCAGTTCGTTATACCAGAATTTTGTATTAAGAGGACCGATGGTTGCATTCATTGTGCACATAAATTCAGTCGGGACCAAGGCTTTTTGTTCGTTACAACCAGAATTTGTATTATCAGTGTTTGTATTAACGAGAGTCGACTGTACCAGGAAAAGTCAAAGGCATTGTATTATTTCCATCCGTTTACTGATAATTTCATATGACGGTATTTGATGGAAAGTTATTTAAATTTTAAGTTGATAAAAACTACCTCTATTATGAGTAAATTGTGAAGTTTACTTCAAACCTTTCTTTGCAATGAGAAATAAACATATGCATATTAACAATAAATAAACATTAAACAACAATGGACACGGCTCTATGGGAAATTGTCACTTAATCATTCATAAATTGATCAAACAATGATTCACAAGTTAAAGCAGTCAACCAAACTTTTCGGTGAAATTTCGAAGGAATCTGTTGGCCTAACATGTTGACGCTCTCATTTGGGAACTTGTTATGAGTTCAAAGACATATCGGTAATTGCTTAAAAAATGTGTTTTGCATAATATCTCAACAAAAGCAACTTGCAAATGATTTTTTTTGGTCACATGATTTGCTACTACAAGTCACATGATTATCTTCATGAAAAAGGAAAACAGACAAACAAAAAAACACCAAGTTTGGACAAGAACTGTGGTTCACCACATTAACAAGTGAACACTATCTGGCAACAGAAAAAGAGAGAAGTGTATTCTATTATTTGTATTTGGGACCAGACTAATTAAATCAAGTCGCATCACTGGTTATCAACAGCAATCCCTAATGTACATCGGGAGCCAGACACAGATGTTGCAGTGTTATATTCATCATCAAATTCGTTGAAAATTTAATTTTAAAAAATCAAACTTGGCGGGGCAAAGATCGTCAGAAAAAAACACTGCATTTTGGAAATACATTTGAAAAAGTAGGAAATCCGATTAAAAATCGGAAAAGTTTCATCTCTTCTCACGCCTTTTGCAACGTTGTTAATGATTTTTCCATGAACATTTCCGGTACACATGTATATATATTTAAAGGATAAAAAAGGGTTGCCACCTGTAAAGGATGTAACCAGTTATTTCTGGGAAATTCTTAGACCGCCCCAGAAACGTTAAGTCAAAGAATATGTGGGACATCGGAAGAGAAAAATTGTAAAAGAAAAAAAAAATGACTGGCAGTTGGCGGGCAAGCATTAAAAAGTCCAGCTGTTTATCCCAGGGGGCTGCCAACAAATTAGTTGGAAAATGTCAAAATGACTTGCCATATTCCCAGGTTGGTGCCGCTGGTAGTAGTATAGGGGGATGTTTTGTTCCCTGGAGCAAATAAGATTAAGAATTTCTTAGAAAAGGTGTGAGCAAGTGTAAATGATTATATACATTGTAGTAAGTGTTGAAACCAACAAATGATGGCTGAAATGTCAAAGGTGTACAGATTTCTGGAAGTTGCACTTTTTGTTGTGCTTCGGGGGTAAACTTTTCATGGGAAACATGTACAGTCGAACCCTGGTAAGGAGAGCACTGCTTATACAAGGGAAATGTCAGGCCCCTAGTCTGTTGTTCTTTGTTTTCCATTACTGATAATACAAGGTGCCTGTTATTACAAGGTGATTTGTAAAGTCCCAAGGACCCTGTTATAAAGGTGTTCGACTGTATTTCTCTGTTCTGTCTGCTTTTGCCGGTTAATTCGTTGTCTGTGTCAGGGTGAAACTGTTTTCGTGTGAAAACTGTTCCAGTGTTAACTAATTGGTTGAAATGGACAAATACTCGGCTGAAATGTCAAAGGCGTACATTTTTCTGGAAGTTGCCTTTTCTTTTTGGCTTCAGGATTAAGCTTTTCACAGGAAACATGCACGTATTCATCTGTTCTGTCTGCTTTTGCCGGTTAATTCGTTTTGAGTTTAAGTGGGAAAACTTTTCTAGTGTAAAAAAAAAATGGTGAAGCCGACAAGAAATACTTTGCTGAATGTCAAAGGTGTTGAAATGTCTGGAAGTTGCACTTTTTCGATTCAGAAGTATAGCTTTTCACATAAAATATGTTTTTTTTTCCTGTTTTGTCTACTTTTGCAGGTTAAAGGTAATATACAACCATTGCTTTTGCTGTAATTTTCAGAAACGGATGGATTTGATGGTTGAAATTTTATAGTAAATACATGTATTGGGACACTGACCTGTTTAGTGTTGTGACGGTAATTTTGTGTTCATAGATGCTGGAAAAAATCAAGAAAACAAGTGCTGTTCTTGTAGACTATCTAGACTAGATGTGTTAAAAGATTGCAAAACAAAATGTGGACTAACTAAATTTAATTGGGGACACTTTTTGAAAAAAGTCAGGTGCCATGATTTCACTGAATGCTTAAAACTATTCAGTGTTCACTTACAGTCAAGTCAGGTATTTCATATTAATATGGTAGTTTTGTTTTTTGATGTTTGCAAATGTTGTACATTACCTTTCAAGGGAATGTACATCATTGGCTTATGCTTTAATTTCCAGAAATGAACTATTTGAGGGGTTAGTATAATAGATCAAACTATTGTTACACTGACATGTTTGAAGTTTTGTTTTCGAAAATGCTGGAAAAACCAAGAAAAACAAAAATGTTCCAGTAGTCTGGTTCCCTGACTCCACTGAAGATGAAATGGATCAATTTACAGATGCCGGAAAATTGTACGCTAAGGGAACCAGTCTAGCTGACCTGCACCCATCCATGAACATACAACCAATTAGCAAACAAAATTGGACTGAAAAAAAAATGGTAAATTTGGAGCAGTAGTGAAAAATAATTAGGTTTTTCCTATGGTGGTCGGCCGACCACCGTTGGAAATGTAAACAAAAATATAATTTTCTTGAAAATGGCTTCACACCAGGTGCCATAATTTTACAGGATGCTTTAGACTGTCATTTACCAACATCCTGTAAGGTATTTCGTAAAAACTTAGTCATTTTATTTTTCGATGTTTGCAAATGTTGTATTTTCCCTTTAAGTTGTTTTGTTTAATAGTGTATAAACCACTTTGTTCATCTTTTCTGTATTTATTCGTTTGATGTAACCTGTCCTGTATTTATTTATGGCATTTGTTTTGTTTACTCGTAGTCTGTGCTCCGTTATGGGGTCTAATAAAATTATACTAAAAATAACAATAGTACCCATGTGAATTTCCTTTCTCCCATTCAAAATTATATCAAAAGTGAAAGATTGAAGTACTCAGCGTTGCACAAGATTTTAAAGGGAAAATACAACATTTGCAAACATCAAAAAATAAAACTACCAAATCATTTTGAAATACCTTGCTGGACTGTTAGTGAATGACAGTGTAAAGCATCTTGTAAAATCATGGCACCTGGTATACTGTCATTTTCAAGAAAAGTGGTATTTTTGTATCAATTTCCAACGCTGGTCGGCCGATCAGTGTTGGAAAAAACTGGCTTTTTTTCAAATACTGGCCCCAATTGACCATCGCACTTGTTTGAAATTGATTACACACCTATGTACGGGTACAAGCCAGCTAGACTGGTTCCCTAACCTTACAATTCCCCAATATATGTTAACTGCTATGTTTCTTCTTATATGGAGTCAGGGAACCAGACTACAGGAAAATGATTGTTTTTCTTGGTTTTTATAGCATTTTCGAACCCAAAACCTCAAAAAAGTCAGTGTAACTATATTTGCTATATATTTCCAACCCCCCAATTCCATCCATTTCTGAAAATTACAGCAATAGCAAATGATGTATATTCCCTTTAAGTTGTTTTGTTTAATAGTGTATAAACCGCTTTGTTCATCTTTTCTGTATTTATTCATTTTATGTAACCTGTCCTGTATTTATTTATGGCATTTGTTTTGTTCACTCGTAGTCTGTGCTCCGTTATGGGGTCTAATAAAATAATACTAAAAATAACAATAGTACCCATGTGAATTTCCTTTCTCCCATTCAAAATTATATCAAAAGTGAAAGATTGAAGTACTCAGCGTTGCTCAAGATTTTAAAGATGTGACGTTTACACGTTTAAAAAAGAAAAAGAAAAAAATTCTAAATCCGATTACTAATTTTCAAAAAACGCTTATCCAAATTATTAAAAAAACTTACCTTCACGCGATTTCCTTTGAGTTAAACAAACATACATGTAGTACAAATAATTAACAATGTTTTCAAACTTATTTAATTTCAATACCAAACCTTTGAAGCACTGCAGTGCTTGATTTACATGTGAAACGTTTAAACGGTATTTAAACTATTTGCTAAACGTTTACAAAATTACACGCAAAGTCACATCCTTACAAGATTTGAACCTGTCACACTGCCTGTCGACCTGGACAAGTCGTTAAAACCTCTAAACTAGTTAACTGGAGGTCTCGGGTTCAAAGCCTGCCAGGGTAATTTTTTTCCCCTTTTCTCACAAGCTCCAGGACAACTGAGTGCAATAGTGCTTATATTCAACGGAAAGGGGAAAAGGCAATAAATAAGGCCCCCTAAAAAAGTCTCTGGTTGCTGGTATGGAGCTTGCCCAAAAAGTGGTGCGGCGACGCTTTTTTCCCTGCTTTTTAACTGTTTTTTTTTCTTCAAATGTCGGCTGATGACTGCAAATGGTGCCCGACTAAACTTAGTGCAAATATATGGGAGTCCAGAGAGGCCACATAAAGCTTATTCTCGATCGTAACCCCATCTAAACAGCAGCAGGATTCCAGTCAAACCAGTGAGTTGGCGGTTTTGAGACATCATCTTTCATTGAAAAAAAAAAACGGAGACTTTTTTGGGGGGGCCTAAAATAAGTTGAGTTATTGGAATGGTAATCCGGAGGTTGCAGGTTCGAACCCCCGCTCCAGTCAATTTCTTTGTTAAACTTTAAAATTATCATAACGCCCCTAATTAGTTTGTCTTCGTTGAATCAAAAAGTTGTAACAAACTGCTGTATCCTCTCTGAGTGATTCCCGTTTGCTATTTCCCAGGTTTGCAGCCTTCCTAATGTTGCTAGCATCGTGACTTGGGTGTGATCCCTGGCAACATGGCAAATCAGGTTTATGGCTTCTGACTAGCATTCCTTGAACAACAACATTGACAAAATGGGGAACCACTGACAATAGGCTGAATAGCTCAGTTGGCAGAGCACTGGTAATCCGAGGTCACAGGTTCAAACCAAGCTCCAGTAAACTTCTTTGCTCAACTTTAACATTAAAATAATTCATCATTACTTGACACGTTGATATTGTGTGCCTGGCCAGGGAAAATATCTAAACACCATAACCCCCTGTTAGAAAGCTGAAAAATTCCGAGTAGTTTGACAAACTTTTCTCACTGTGTCGGCATTTCCAAAACTGACAGAAATTCTCAACAGCATTGAAAGGGTAAGAGAATGAAGATTCTGCGACAAAAAAAAAAAAAAAAAAAAAAAAAAAATTAACAATGAGCAATAAAACTTGCCCGAATACTGCCGTTCTATTTACAAATTGGAAAGTTATCCTAGATTTTCGAGAGCGAATGCCAATCAGTTAAAACTTTGGCCAAGTCAATGTTTTCGAAATTCAGAAACATGATATATTTTTACATTAATTCTATTCCGAAATTACAATTTTGAGGGGAATCTGACGTAAAAATTTGGATGAAACGACAAGATGGGCTGAAATAGTACCTTGCCTCATGAGAACCTCACCACGTGGGAGCGGTGTTTGCCAAACGACGCATTCTCCTGAAATGGATAAAAAAAAACAACAATCAGCACAAAACATTTGAGGGTAAATTCCATTTTTCCAGGACCAAAGAAAGCGAAAAATACATAAGGAACTGATTGCATTAAGTCGAACATACTAAATATTCAAGAAATATCTGAATATATTTAAATTCAAATATTCGAAAAAAATGTTAGCAGTCTCAACAAATGAGGAAAAACTTTGTCAATATTATTTATTCATATCAAGAGGGTGAATTTTATTCTTTGTCAAATGCCACGCTCTTGTCGAAAGCTCAAATTTTATCAACATATTGGTCAAATATCAGACATTTTGCTCCCTGTTCAGTATATTCAGTTTATATTTTAAAATGTTTATAATCTTTTTGTCAATTTTTCGATAAGCGCAGGCGCATGCGAATCTCGATTCAGTGGACAGCTTAGGCTTCCGGATGTCAAATTTGATCAGCGCGTTTCCAAATATTCGAATAGGTCCAAGTTCGAATAAATGAATACGAAATTATTCGGAAACTGCACAACCAGCCTTGGACCAAGACTACCTTGAATAAGCATGGCACCCTGGCCTGAATGAGTCAAGCGAGGGCGATGTTGCTCTTACCTGGTGTTGCGGTCTTGGTCACGGATCTTCTTCTCCATCTCGGCGTCCGTCAGCGTCTCCAGGAAGGGGCACCATTGGTCGGCTTCACCCTGGTTGCGCACCGCGATCTCCACGGTGGGTAGCGGCGATTCACTGCAACAATGAAGAGAGGGCCGAAGCAAGTGAAATCTTCACTATCAGCATTTGCTATTGCCGTTCTAAAGTTTTCTCAGAGCCTTTTTGTTTTCACATTTTCAAGCTGATTCAAAGTTCTATAGTCGTCAGCAAAACAGTTATTGGAATAGCAGGATTTCTACAACAAAACTTCTTAAAAATGTTATATTTTTTGGGTCAGTTCTCCTCTGCAACAGAATTTATGTGGTTTATTCTTTTTTTTTTATTTAGTACAAGACTGTAAGTCATGAGGGAAAATTACATTTGAAGTGAGTTTTCACAACACACTGGGGAGGGGACCGTGTAGAAGGGGAGGGGCTTAGGAAATGGGGGGAATTTAGTCTAAACTGAGTTGATCCAAATACAGTGAGCTAGGAGAAGGAGGTCAAGTCTGGGAGGAGGGGGTTAACTATGGGGGCGGGACTTAAGTATAGAATTATGGGAGGACAGTCTTAAGTATGAGGGGAGGGGCTTAAGCATGAGGGGAGGAGCTTAAGTATGGGAAGGAGGGGCTTTAGTATGGGAAGAAGGGGCTTAAGCATGGGAGGAGGGGCTAAAGAATGGGAGGAGGGGCTAAAGTGTGGGAGGAGGGGCTTAAATATGGGAAGATGGTCTTAAGCATGGGAGGAGGGGCTTAAGTATGGGAGGAGGGGCTTAAGTATAGGACGAAGGACTTGAGTTAGGGATGAAGGCACTGAAGTATGATGGGAGGGGCTTAATTATTAGGGAGGGATTTAGGTAGGAGAGGCTTCAGGTGTATCATACCTGAAAGCATATGTGCGCTGGTGCCAGCTGAGTTGTCCCCTAATACTGTACGCTATTGCAGTCACAAACTCCCCTCCTAGTCCGAGGTCGGCACACAGCTTGAGGGCGTATTCCTCAGGACTGTTATCCTTGCAAGCCATGTCCCACTCAAACTGGTCCACTAGGGAGATGTTGCCCACGTGGATGTTCAGCTGTTGGGGAATTTGAAAAAAAAATAAGAAAAATTGATGACAGCTGGGTAAGTAAGTACAGCAGTCATTTGGTAAAATTACAGATATTTATTGGGGATAATTATTCTGTTTGCTATTTTTGAACAGGAACAAAATCCCCCCCCCCCAAAAAAAAGCGCCAAAATTAATTTGGCGTTTTGGATGTTGAGATTTTTTTTGAAAAAAAAAATGAAAACCTTGTTGAAAACTAATCCATGAAGGGTTTCTGTCCAAATAATACATTCCACAGTGCTGTTTTTCAGGCAGAGAAGCAAAAAGGTTCAACCCCACTCAGGTCAATTTCTTTGAACTTGTTAATCGTCTGCCTGGCATGTTCTTGCTCGCTGTACCTTGAGAATGACTCTCTGATCCGATTGGTCCTCCAGAATGCTGGTGTCTGCTGGGAAGGCGTCGATCTGCGTGCGGATGGCCTGTGAGATGGATTGCACGAAGTTGACCGGTGGGAGGTCCAGATCCTCGCACAGGATCTCCGCGAACATCTCTGGCGTGATGAGTGTCTCTGCAGATAATCACATCCAACAGGCATTCATAAATACCTGGGACAAATGCCTATTCATAACTGGTCGAGAGCCAGTCACTTGGGTGGTTTTAAACCGCTTTTTATACACAGCTCGGGCAACACCGGTAGCGAGAATCAAGTGCTCCGTGCCACAGGCGCGCAGTATTTGCCATGCGCGCTGGCTACAACAGCACGCCTGTGAAGCACCAATATCAGGGTTCCCATCACTTTAATGAATATCAAATTTACCAAGTTTTCCCCGCTTTAGAAGAATTTTCCAAAATTCCATGAGAAATATTTTCATGCTAACGAGGTTGCTGGGAAGTCAAGAGGTGGTTGTAGCAAAAACTAAAACACTGATAATACACAGGCAACTTGTTGACAAGCGATTGCCTCCCTTTTCCCATTTTTAAACTATTTTGCCAGTCAGTCAATAGACATCACTTAGACACATGACCAAAGATGCACATACCCCAAACTGGTAAAAACCTTTCACTTCCGAGCAACTGCCAAATCCCTGATTTTTTATGTTTTCCCAAATTCCCTGGGTCTTCCCTGACTGGAAAATTGCAACTTATTTTCAAAGTCTTTCCTAATTTCCAGAGTGGTTGCAAACCCTGAATTCATAACTTTCGATCAGTGGTCAATAATGTCCACGCAAAAACACTGTGGCAGAATTTGCCATTATAAATGAGTGACTTAAGAAGGCAATGAAGTATTCCGGTGATGTTTATTACCGTTCTTATTCCAGGTGAAAGTATCGCGGAGTTTCTGGCCTTCGATCTCCATGTCCAATCGGATGGGAACCAGAGTCTCTGGCATGTCCGAGTTTTCGTGAATGATGGCTGGGTCATGATCATCGTAGCTGCAAAGGGGATAATATTGCAATGACTTTTAAAAAAAAAATTAAAATGGAATATTATAGTTGACTTATGATTGACTTACAATTGGTTGTTGTTTGCCTTGCGATTGACTTGTGATTGACTTGTGACTGGGTGGTGATTCCCATGTGACCTAACTTGTGATAGACTTTCAATTAATTTTTGATTGCCTTACGATTGATTAGTGACTGAGCTGTGACTGCCTTGTGGCATGACTGTGATTGACTTATGATTGGTTCTGACTACCTTGTGATTGACTCCTAATTGCCTTGCGACCGACTTGTGATTGAATTGTGACTGACTTGTGATTGACTTCTGACTGGCTTGTGATTGACTTGCGATTGACTTGTGATTGACTAGTGATTGACTTCTCATTGGTTTGTGATTGCCTTGCGACTAACTTGTGATTGAGTTGTGACTGACTTGTGTTGAACTAGTGATTGACTTATGATTGGTTTGTGATTGCTTGCGACTGAATTGTGATTGAGTTGTGACTGAGTTGTGACTGACTTGTGATTGACTAGTGATTGACTTATGATTGGTTTGTGATTACCTTGCGACTGACTTGTGATTGACTTGTGATTGACTTGTGATGGACTAGTGATTGACTTGTGATGGACTAGTGATTGACTTGTGATGGAATAGTGATTGACTCAGGATTGGTTTGTGATTGCTTTGCGACTGACTTGCGATTGACTCCGTTACTAACACTGATCCTCCACTCACCACATGGGGAATGTTCGTTGTCTCTTGGGTCCCACCCTGTTTCGGGCGATGCTCGTGGAGCAAGGCACAGCATCCAGGTGATGGGAGCTGTTAGGCAGCGCCGGCACCCAGTCCCTGCTGCGTTTGGGCTTGGACTCTCTCAGAGAGTTGGAGTCGGTGCTGATGGCCACGGCTTTGTACTTGGCGTCGTTGCCTTCTAGGATCTCCTCGACTTCGGTGGCTTTCAGGAGGGTGACGTTGGTCGCCAGGCCATGCTGACCGAAGCCTGGGAACAGAATAAAACCATCAAATGCAAGCGGGTGCAGAAATCTAGGACATTCTACATTCTGATCAAGTAGCAAGATCTTTTTTCCTGAAACTGAATAGTTCTCGAGTAGGAAGTTGAACGTTAAGCACAGCAACCCATGAATACTGAGGGGTCCGCTCATAAGTCCGACGCCTCATAGGTCCGACGCCTCATAGGTCCGACAGAATCGCATCCCTTAACCAAGTAAAGGCCCATATGTCCGACGCCTCAAAGGTCCGACGCTTCATAAGTCCGACGCCTCATAGGTCCAGCGCCTCATAGCTCCGACGCATCGTAAGTCCGACAAATTCAACGCCTCGTTTTTTCCGTTGTCGGACTTATGAGGCGTCGGACTTATGAGGCGTCGGACCTATGAGGCGGAATAAATAAATTGTATGCCTCATAAGTCCAACGCCTCATAAGTCCGAAATTTCGGACTTATGAGGCGTCGGACCTATAAGGCGTCGGACTTATGATACGGCCCCAATACTGATAGGGCAGTCCTCAAAAACACTGCTTCATTATTCATAAAACTTACGGTCTCCGATGTGGACAATCTTCTTGCGTTCTTCAACCGTGGCTAGTTTTCGCCAGAGTGATGGATATTTTTTGTAAAGAGAACCTCGGAACATACGCAGATAATACCCAACCTGTATTCAAGAAAGCAAACATTCTGTCAACCCATGGAGGAAGGTGATCAACCTAAAGACGTTTCGGTTTATTCAAATGAACAGAATAGGTCACTTCTGTTTGTATACAAAGTCTATGGAGAGTTGAGTGCATTTTCCAAGTATTTCCTAACAAAATTTGAAATTATTCTCAGTCCCAGATTCATGTCTTTTCAACTTTTTTGCAATGACTGACCTTCATTGAGATATTAGTACGTGATGAAAATATGATGGTGTCAGGATGCAAAATTCTTTCCCATTCATACAATTCAAGATGTGGAATCTGCTGATTTGTTTTCATTGAATCGACTCAGTATCTGTATCTGTATGGTTACGTTGCAGAAACCTATTCAGGCATTATTGCAACGGATAAAGGTAGGCCTACTCAACATGTTCAAGGCACTGGAAGTGGAAGTTATTACCATTAGATGAATGAAGTACATGAGAAATATGGGACCCGTTATGTGGCACCTAAGGGTTTACAAGGTGCTGCATGCTGCAGTCATGTCTAAAATTGTCTAACAAAATGCAAAAAGTAACATCTCCAATTTCCCACAAAATTTCCAAACTGGTAATGGCAGAACTCACACAAAGTTCAGGAAAGAATTCCGTACACGGCCTCCACTCTAGTCATAATCATATTCCTTAATAATAATATGACCTGAAAAGTACCCAAATGTTGTAAATCTGATGAAAAAGCTATTTTTTTTTTGGGAGTGCAAACATTCTTTGATTTGATCATGTTGATAATTACTTTTTACTTCTTTTCTGTCAATGTCATGGCCCATAGACTTTGTGCAGGATGTCTGAGTGGAGGCAGTGTACTCTGGAATTCTTTCCAAAGTTAATACACCTGTCAAAACAGATACATGATGTACACATCTTGAAATCCCACTCCCAGCCAGGCGCGAAGTCGGGTTTTGAAATGTTGCGTGCGTGTGAACAAAGCCTTTCGACCCGACAATTCCAAATACGCTCAGAACAAAATATGTACCATTCCCTACTACCCCACTATACTAGAATGGAGCTTCACATACCTCCGAACCTATCATGTATTTATCTTCCCCTTCTTCGAACTGGAAAACGTCTGGTTTTTTGCCGTATGTCCGCAAAGGAACAGGGATCTTCTCGCCGTTAGCCGCCATGACTGCTCACATGTACATACATGTACATGTACATTCATACATGTACATGTCACGGAAATTTTTCACAAAGGACTTTAACAGCGCCCTCTCGTGGCGATACGGAAGAATGTGTAGGGTTTCTCCCTTGAAAAAGAATCTGTTGGTTTACTTTGATCTAAATAAGTCTGTATATGGAGATCAATAGATTCCCTCCAGAGTATGTTTTTTTTCCTGGCCTGTGAGCTCTAGCGCAGAAAATACTTCAAAGAGCCTTTGTATTTGTTTACAGGAAAACAAATCAGTGGACAATAGCGAAGAAACACATTGTTCAATGGATAAAAAGTAATTCTCTACGAAGTTTATTGTAAATTTTTGTTTCCATATATAGCGCGTTTTACTCTCTTTACAAGTGAAATACTATGTTACAAACTGTTACGACTTACGTGGACCCAAGTCGTAACAAGGGGAGGTTTGAGTGGCTAACCGCCCCCCCCCCAAAAAAAAATCTGGCGACTGACTGATGTTAACTAGGCCTACATAATATTTACATAGTGGGGAAAACTACCACCAATTTCCGTAAGATCCCCAACTAACGTCATTGAACATTGCAAATCTCGATTTGCAGGCAGGCACTCTGTCTTTTTGGGACGGTTCATGGGTCAACATCCCCCTCTCCTCCCCCCCTTGAAATATTGGACTACACCACCTAGCCACCCGACCCTTAACATCCTAGATCCGCCACTTTATCGACAGGCATGGGCATGACGCAGCAGCCGTTCGATTCCAGAAGAGGGGGCAGCATCATAATAGCCCTGCTCAAAATGTACTACAAGATTCTGTAATTCTCGTCATCGCTCGGTAGGTTGCTGTATTGCAATAGAATCCATTCGAGCAATCAAAGATTACCATCAGTCGAGCCTCTCTTTCAAAGCAGTCGTGCAAAGGTGCCATAATTATCGTTCTTTGCCAAGCCATATTTTGGCAACTATGGAAGGCCAACGTCGCAAAAATAAAGAATAGTCATTAATGTTTTCAAACATAATGCAATGAACGTTACCAATAACAGCTGTTTAAAAACATTTCTTTCTTAAATAATGAGTGTTGACAACCACTCACGGCTTAAATGTATGTCCATGTGGCAGCCCATACAAAATGGCGCTCAAAGTTTACAAACGAAAAAAGTCCATATTATAGATGAGATGCCCTGTCCATGTGTATCTACAATCCTGAGTAGTCTGGTTCCCTGACTTGAAGATCACCCTTGTCTCTCTAAATCTGAGATTGAAGATCTGTCGGGAGTTCAGGATCTTTTGGTCTAGGAACCAGACTACCATACAGCGCACATATGTTCCACTTCAGTGAAGTCATGTTACCACGGCAACAATTTCCCCTCCCACGTGAATGCTTTTCCCGCATCCTTTTCCCTCAGACGTGCCAGGACTCGCAGCATCCCCTGGATGCTCTTCTTGGGAGTCAGGGAGGCGTTCTTGCCTCCCATGTCGGTCTGGACCCACCCAGTGTGAAGCGCCACTACCAGGATGCCTTGCGGGCGTAGGTCAAAGTTCATGCACTTAGTGAGCATGTGCAAAGCAGCCTGTTGATTGCAGAGATAAAAAATGGAGAGAGAAGTACAAGTCCATCAAAAGTGAATGACAAATCAATTACAAGTAAATGGCATAATTGACAAGTTAATAGCAAGTCCACCAGGGATCATTGTAGGGTGGATTCCGACATGTGTCTGTAATTTGAGTAGGCCTATGAAGGAAACGAACTACACACATCATGTACGGTGCAGATATTTTATTTATACAATTTGGAAAAAGCCAATCAGACATTTGTGGGAGGACTGTTATGGCCTGGTCAAGCACTTGCAAGTCAATCAGAAATACGTCATGGCGAGACAATTAAGTCAACCACAAGTCAATCACAAGTCAACCACAAAAAAACGTCAACCACAAGTCAACCACAAAAGTTAATCACAACTCAACCACAAGTCCACCACAGGACAATCACAAGTCAACAACAAGGTTAATCGCAAGTCAATCACAATTAAGTCAACCACATGTCCATCACAATGTCAATCACAATTAGTCAACCACAAGTGGACAATTCAACCACAATTGAGTCAATTGTAAGACAGTCACAAGTCAACCACGTGTCAATCACAATAGTCAACAATAACGAGTCAATCACATGTCAACCACAAGTCAATCACTCAGCATAATCGACCACTTGTCAACCATTATGCAGTAGGAAATTAAGCACAAGTCAATTAATCTCAAGTCACGCAGTAGGCCTGCTTGTTAACAAGTCGATGACAATGATTCACAATCACACTCGGCCGGTATTGCGAATCAATCACTTGTAAGTCCATCGCACGTCAATCATAAGTCAACCACAAATCGGAAAATGAGGTGTGATTTTTATTTTTACGTTACCGGTACCTTAGTTGTTCTGTACGGAATGTATCTACTTGACGTGCATAGTTGGAATGACCCGAGTGCGGACGTGATATTAACGATTGCTGCTCGATCGGTGCTCAGTTGTTTCGGGCTGTCCGTGCATGCGCGATTGGCTGCTCGCTTCAGAGCGGGTAGAAAAGCCTGGAAATAAGCCAATCAGAAGTAGAGTTTTAATTTTTAACCCGCATCCATGCTTAACTCGATTTGAAAACAATTGTACATTCGCACTTGCAAATAATGGCACTCAAATTTCGGTTAGAATTTCACATTAGCAACCAATGAAATTTGAAAAGCCTCGAGGGCGTTTATACCCGGCTTCATGATTATGTATGAGTCGGGTCAAATGATCTAGGTCACGTCTGAATTTTTGGTTGCGGCCTGCAATAACATACACCATATATGAAAGTGGCTATAAAGCTACGTCCTATGTGTACTACTTCAAGCCATAGCCAAGTAAATGGACAAGATCAAAATACCTGCGAAACAGCGAGTGGTCCCATGACGTTAACCCTGTAACTTTCTTCCATGTCCGCCATGCTGGTTGTCTCCGTGCCTCCTCGCTGCAGCACGCCGGCGTTGTTGATTAAAACTCCCAGCCCTTCCTCGCCGACAGCTCGGTCCACCGTCGCAACGGCCTCCGGGAACGTCGCCTCGTCGGTGACATCTTGAAAGAGAAGACCGATGTTTTAAGCCCCGCCCACCGACATTTTGACCAATCACAGCTGTAAATTTTGGGCTATATTTGCACGCGGCTGGAACATAAATATGCAGCTTGCAGAGGTAGGTAGGTGCACATGAGTTCAATGGGCGGGCCTTATCCGAGTCGGTCTAGCTGCATGCAGGCCAGATCTTCACTGACAGAGCTGTGACTTTCGATATTCAACGTAAATGGAAACAATTCTTAAACCAAGTATACCAACTTAAAACTTGCGAAAGTTGGAAAGTCAAAGTCTGAAAAAAGACAGCGAAAACCTTTATTTCGAGAAACAGGATACTGTACAGGCTACAGGGATATTACGTACGCATGCAGTCCATGGGCGCGGAAGTGCCGACTTTCAACCAATCATCGTGTTTACATGCAAATGAGCCGACTTCGGAAAGATTAAGACGACAGGTGGCGCCCTTTCACTTTAACGCGTGTAGCACATTATTTTTTTTAGCCTGGTGCCCGGTCCCTCGATTAGGCCTGACAGCACCATCTTTGTTATAAACGACAATGTCTGCCAAGAAGTCAAGAATAACATATTTGTTTTTACCTAACTTGATGATCTTCAACTGCTGTTTGTCTTTTGTCAGACTTTGCAACGCCTGTGGAAAGAGATAAAGAAACACTTCACGGACGCTCGATGAACTTAACCAAGCCTCGAAATTCAACTTGGTCAAGATCAAAAATACCTAAAAGGTTAAAAAGCAATAACTGTCCGACACTGGTTCTCAGTCGATACTTGCTTAGGCCATACATTCGCTTAGCAGTATTATTTAGCATCACAGTGAAATCAGCCTTCCAAGGTGCGTAAAGTTAATGGACATCAGCATCTGAGTCATCAACTCCGAGTTTCCGGAGACGTCCCAGATCAGAGCAGAGGGGACTTCCCGCCCGCGAATACTGGGCAGGCCTTCCTACCGCCACGGTGAATTCTGATTCTCCGTGACACTTTCGAAAGGTCACGGAGAAAATGTTCCCAGAGTATTTTCTCTCAGTGTTTATCTTTTGGCTTCCAGATTTCAACCATCTTACTTGTTGTATTTGTAGTACAGTCATATTTTTTTCTTTCTTCGAAAATTTTACTCCCTGAATCTACATGTTGTATTTTATAAGTTGCAAACTATTGAATGGGATGGTTCCAGATTATTTTATGATTGGAGTGCATCCGGAGCCTCATTTTCAATTTGATTTTAGTTTAATGTGGTTTAAAACATTAAATTAGGATACGTTTAATCACAAATTTTAAATCATTTATCAGAGCAGACTGGCATTAATTTGTGAAAAACTTTTATTTCATTGCTTTCGTTTCTTCTAATTCTCGAAATGAAGAGTTTACCTCGCTTTCAATATTAATATGGCCGACCATTGTTGGGTACCAAAAATAAAAAGGTTTTCCTTAAGTTCTGCAGAATCTCACTTCAACAACTGAAAGAGACACTCGCACAAATTCTTCCGCAAAACATTCAAAGCTTATAAGGTGGGGAGGGGGGAACTGCAAGCTTTAAAAAGAACTTACCTCTGCGTCTTCAGGCGCTCGGCAGCAGGCGAAGACGTATAGCGGAGGCTCTTCAAGTTGGAGTAACTGGCGGACAAACTCCAAACCGATCCCTCGATTTGCTCCCGTAACGAGCACCGAACGCATCTCGATCGAAACGGGGAAAATGAGCCACAAACAAACCACAAAGTTTCCACTGAAAATCGGCCTCGCAAACCGGACAATCTCGCTGAAATTTATGACCAATTATTTTGGAAGACTAGGGCTAGTACGAAATGCGTAATAACGTGTATTTCACGTCAGCCCATTTTCCAAAGCACGGTTTCGAAAACAGCTTTGAGTCCGTCACCGGCTCCACAATAATTTTTATGGAGTCTTTGATACTCGGCAAAACTAACATAAACATTGGCCTCGTGTTTATGATTCCATGGTAATAGCGTGCAGAAAATATAAAAATCCCAGGGTTCCCTTAAATCACGATACTGGAGGCCACAGCTGAACAAAACCCCGAGGTTTATAAAACGCACCCGCCTTCCGGACGGTAGTGAATTACGAGTCATTGAAAAATTACGTGTAATATAATAACCTTGACCACGCCCTCTGTGTATGACGTGACCGAGTGACATTTTCAGGGACCTTGGCCATTAAAGATCAAGATTTCTGAGTCATTCGCTAGAAATAACCCAAAAAGACCCATCATACAATTTTGAATAGGCCAACGCTGACACCCAGTTTTGGGGGTGTGTATAGTCTCCGCTCCAGTCGCTTGGCACACATGTATTTGACGCAGAGTCAAATGGTGGCACATGTATCATGTGAAATTATGACATTATGAAATACGGACTCATTAGTTGCATTGCGCATGTCTCATTGGACAGAAAAAGAGAAGAGAAACTGATGAGAGTCCATTTAAGGTGTTTCATTTACATGTACTTAAACTTTTTCTGGAAGGGGGACTAGGACAACAAAATTGCATAGTTTTCATGCATGGTTTCCACAAACATCTTAAAATGAAATTCCTTGACTTTTAATTTTCCACACCAATATTAGGGTTTTCTGTGACCAATTTCTATGCTGTTTTGGCATCTGAGGAGCCTATTTACAATACACTGGGCAGTCATCACAATGAGGCAAGGAACGCCACTCCCTTTCAGCCTTGTAGTTTGACACAAGTCTGCTGAGCACCACAAAGCATCACAATGAACCCTGCAACAAGTATCGAGTATATCAAGAGAAAGTATAGTACTGAAATGCGAACTGGAAGACTGCCACAGCCAAATATTAAGCACCATGATGTATGGGTTGTGCAGGATGCAACGACTCTCTTCTGTGACCTTTTTCCTTGGCATATCAACTTCTGTGACTTTTCCATGCATGTTTTCCACGATAGCTTTAAATTCAAGGATTTTCCTATGACTGGAGAAACCCGAACTACATAGCATTGGCATATTACACTCATCGATTGAATACAAAGGTGAAATATGCCCAGAATTTTTTTGTCAAGGGCTAAATTAGTAAAAAGAAACTTGAGGTTAAAAGCAATATGCAACATTTGCCAACACATCAAAACACAAAACTACCAAATTATGATCAAGCCTCTTACTTGACTGTAAGTCTCAAGCATCCTGTGAAATCATGGCACCTGGTGTGATGTCACTCTCATGGAAAGTGGAATTTGTGTATTAATTTCCAACAATGGTCGGCTGACCATCATTGGAAAAAAAACTTATTTTTTTTTAAATACTGCCCCAAATTTGCCAAAGTTTAGTTAGTCCACATGTTGTTAGTACAACGTATCTATGAACACAAAACTTCAAACACGTCAGTGTAACAATATTTACTATAAAATACCTACCCCCAAATCCATCCATTTCTTAAAACTACAGCGACAGCAAATGTTGTAAGAAAATAAGGAGTTAAGAAAACTCGAACAAACTGAACACCAGTTAAATCAACAAAAATCTGAGCGAGTTAAAAAGTGAAATTCTTAAAATATGTAGACCCCTAGAGTGTTATGTTGAAGTTCAAATGTTAAAATGTCAAAATAACTGAACGTGAAATCGTCTGTACATTTGGGGGCTAGATTTGTTTTGTGAGTAATAATAATAAGCACGCTAGGTAGTGACATGTGGGCCAAGTGAGAGTCAGAATTGGCAACCGTTTAAAAACAATATTAAGAGAAACATTGTTAATTTCAAATTAAACTAGTTTGTTTCTTTCCTGCTTTTTTTTCCCTTTTTGGTTGTTGAACCATCTGTCCGCATCACACTTGTCTGTTTTCCGGAAAAATTTCCCTCGACTTTGGTTGATTGTGATTTCTTTCTTCCGGTGGCAGCTCCCTGAACTTTGACCTTTGACACTTTGTTTGTTTTCTGCTTCTTCTCTCCAGTCAGCACCGGTGTTGGCTCTTTGGTTTTCTTCTTGGTGGGTTCTCCATGCTACTTTGCTACGACCGTTGACCCTTTCCTATTTAGGGATTTTTTTTGTTTCTTCTTCAGGCCTTTCTTGATAATTTCTCTAAAAGAACCAAAAAAAACATTACAAATGTATCAAATATTAGAACTCAAAACAGGACTGGAGGCGTTAATAAGCCACAAATATCTGTGCAGACCAACAGCCCCCCCCCCAAAGAAATCATGGCCTCTCTTTGTGAGTTGTCAATCCTGAGTTTTTTTTAATGCAAAGGTTTCTAGTTTTTGCCTTAAATTTGCCTGAAAGTTTGGTAGATTTTCCCTTATTTCTCATGAGATTTAGAAACAAAAATGTTGTTTTTTTCCCCCCGGAAACTTTCTGACAAGCTGTCTTCCTCATAGACTGTTAAAAAATTGTTAGCACCCACGTTTTCAATCTAGAACCCTTGTGACATGTGATTGACTTGTGATTGACTTGTGACTGACTTGTGATTAACCTGTTACTGACTTGTGACTGACTTATGATTGACTTGTGACTGACCTTGTGACTGGCATGTGACTGACTTGTGATTAACCTGTTACTGACTTTTGACTGACTTGTGGCTGACATGTGACTGACTTGTGAATGACTTGTGACTGACTGGCGACTAAGTTGTGACTGACTTAATTATGACTGACTTGTGACTAACTTGTGAATGACTTGTGACTGACTTGTGACTGACATGTGACTGACATGTGACTGACTTGTGACTGAATTGTGACCAACTTGTGACTGACTGGCGACTGACTAATGACCGACTTATGATTAACTTTTGACTGACATGTCAGTAGATTTGTACCTTTTCTTTTTAGCTTTGTCCAGATCTTGCTTCGGCAGAGTCCTGATCGTGTCTCGCTTGACTGGCTGTCTCTCAAGCTTCTTCCTTTTGCCTCTGAAAATGGTTTTCAAATATGTTTTATATCTTATGCATGCATCTATCCTAATGGGTAGATGTCTTAAAACGGCATACAATAAAACTATTCTTTCCATTGCACGAATGTGAAACATTCATTGTTTTGTTTTATGCAACACCTGAAAAAATCCTCATCATTTGATTGGTAACTAGTGTAACTTCTATTTCCCCGTGGAATGGCCGGAACTTCTATTTCGGCGGTGCGAACGGGCCGTGGGTTTGGACAAATAATTCAATGACATGTGATCAACAACCCACCAATCAGATGATGAGGATTTATTCAGACGTTGTATAAAATAGTCTACTTGTACAATGATAGAGCACATTTTGTTTCAATAACAGAGAATTACTGTAGGCTGACTCACTTGGTGAGTTTCTTGAGTTGTAGCATGTAGTCCGGTACTGGGCACCCTGCGTTGCGCATCACATTAGCTATACTGTTCCAACAAGAGTTGGAACAAAGTTGGAAAAAAAGGAGAAATAAACTCAGAGTCAATTCTTAATATTAGATATTTATAATGGGATTTTGTGTTGGGAATTTTGTGTTGGATGGGACACACCATGAACAAGCTTCATAAATGGACAAACCAACCTTCTTAGATGCACCGAGTCATCCTCCGTGAAGAACGTGACGGCTTTTCCCGGTCGCCCCGCTCGCCCCGTCCGCCCGATGCGATGGATGTAGCTGATCGCTGACGTCGGGAAGTCGTAGTTGATGACCAGGTTGATTCCTTTAAAGTCGATGCCTCGTCCCATCAGCTCAGTGGCGATCAAGACCCAGATTTTGCCCGAGCGGAAACTCTTGACAATATTGTCGCGCTTTGGAATCAGCACAGTCGAGATTGGAGTTACTGACACAATTTCTTTTAATGTCTTACAACAATTCTATTTACTACAATGATCTCTCTCTACCCAGGAGTATGAATGGGTACCTGTGAAGGTAAAGACCAGATTTTGCTGATCTCGAGCTGCTCCAGAAAAATGGTCTTGTAGCCTGATAAACAGGGGTAATAATTGTGAAACTCTTTGAGACCGTTGGTATAAAGCGCTGTTTAAGCACCACATTATATCTTTATTATACAAATGCACAACTTCACATACGTCATGCACGTCAATCTCACAAAGATAGTCAGACAAACAGACCAACAAACAAGCTATAACATACCTGCATCTGTGTCTTATCAGCATGGATGACGTCAACGTTGTAACCGTCATAGATAAGCTCCTGAAAAAGCTCTTTGGCTCGGTCTTTGGATTGGACGAAAACGAGAACCGGTGGATGGAAACCCTGCAAATAGAAATCATACAAAAATTAGGCTAGGCTTGGACAATTTTTTGGTAATACCGTATTGTGACGGTATTTCTTTGATACCGAACAGTACCGAATAATGTTGTTAACACATGTACGTGCACAAGTTCCCTCTCAGTGGTAAGAAAACGTTGAAAATTCAGAAATTAAGTAAAACAAAGTCGCTCACTTTTCTGAAAATTTCTCGGACAGCCAGGAGTTTACCGTGCTCTCCCCCAACGAAAACCAACTCTTGTTGAATGAGTTCCGTGGCTGTATTTCTGGAATGGAAAACACAAGATTAATGCTCATTTTGAAACTCTGACAAAAGACCAACTAATTTACCAAATTTAGTTTATTCCACATTTTGTTTGCAGTCTGTGACACATCCATGAACGGGTGCAAGCCAGCTAGTCTGGTTCCTTGACCTGACAATTCCCGTCATCTATAAATTGCTCTGTTTCTTCTGAAGTAGGGTCAGGGAACAAGACTCATTATTGATTTTCCAATATCTATATGAAAACAAAACTTGTATACCCAGCACGATATGGGACGGAGGGGTAAACCCCCCCCCCCTCCCCCCTCCAATCTCCCTAGATATCTCAAAAGAATTCCTGAGATGACACAATGACCAACACAAAAGAGAAGGGGCTATCCCTCCATCCCATATCCGCTACAAATGAAAAATTTAAACAGGTCAGTGTAACAACCTTTTCTTTAAAAAATACTGTAATAATATACAGGCATGAACTGGGAATTTAAAAAAAAAATTAAGGAAATTCCAAACCACAGAAGACTTTGTACAGTGTTTTTCAATTTGTAATGGCATTCATGAGAAGTAAAAAACGAGGAAATCAGCGGATCCAGGAAAAGTTGCATCCCTGAATATAACCATCTGAACCAGGTGTACATCAATGTCTAGCATTATTTTAATTCCTCTGAATTCTTTTGTATAGCCTCACCCAGAAGGGCCCCTGACTGTAACCATACAGTGGGTTAACCTTATTGCATATATTTATACACTTCAGGGGATTAAGACCTCTCAATCAGATTAGAGCCTTCATCCTCAATAGTGGATTAGAGCCCTCCCTCCCCACCATGGGCCAGGATTTCTATTGGTTATAATTACTGACATACTTTCTCAAGTGGGTTACCTTTGATATTAGGGGATTCTTTTGTGTTAGCTGCTTCACTATAAAAACCCTGGGCGCCTTGGTCCTGGGTGGACTTTGAGGCTGGGCGTTGGCCGTGCATGTTGTTCTGTTAATTTGGGGTAATTGAGTACCAGCAGGCCTGCACTGCAGTGGCTGAATCAGTAAGCATGTAAGTCTCTTTAGTCTCATTTAGCTCCCTGCCAACTGCTATTATTTTTTTGTCATTAATAAGTTATTGGTGCTGTTCAGATAAGACACTGTTCAGATACATTTGTTTCATGTCAGCATCACTGAAAAAAGTGATAACAATGCTCATTTAAACATACCTAGCCCCATAAATGTGGCCTATTTACTGGACTACCTCCGTAAACATAGGCCACACATCCACATGTACAAAAACGTGTCGCACTTTGCCAAATTTTGATTTTTGCATTTAGGCTTAGTTTGTAGGGTTTTTTTGCTTTAGAAGCATACTCACCCTCTTTATAGGCTAATCAGAAAGTGCTGCCTTTTTCAGATGTCTATTTTTCGTGAAATTTCCAGATTCATTTTTACACGTTTGCGTATCAAAATTTCAACATGAAATTTCACAAAAATTAGACATCTGAAAAAGGCAGCACTTTCTGATTAGCCTATAAAGAGGGTGAGTATGCTGCTAAAGCAAAAACATCCTACAAACTAAGCCTAAATGTGAAAATCAAAATTTGGCAAAGTGCGACACGTTTTTGTACATGTGGATGTGTGGCCTATGTTTACGGAGGTAGTCCAGTAAATAGGCCACATTTATGGGGCTAAAACATACCCTGCAACTTGTTTAAAAGAAAGTGTCTGGGTTCGACCTTAACTTTTTTGTTCACTAGCCAGCCGGGCTACTGAAACAGACTCTTAACTAGCCCGGGGGCATTGTCACTAGCCCTCATTTTTTTTTTAGCTCAAATACAGAATGGCGTATTTTCAGGCTCAATTCTGAGGCAATTTTTGCCATATCTAATAATTTAACCATTTAAAACAGTTGGATAAAATTAGGCACAACTTGATGAGGTTTTCTTTCTGAATGTAATGATTTATTTCTTCCTGTCCGTTCATCGTTGCTGTTTCCCAATATTTTTTTGACTCGCCAGCCGGGCTACTTAAGGAATAGTTTGACTAGCCTGCCGCTGTTTTGACTAGCATTTGGCTAGCGGGCTACCGATAGCCTTTAACAGTCCTGAATCCTCCAAATTCAATATGATTTTGCACACCCCCTAAGGAGTTAGGGTTAATTTCGAAACCCTGGTCTATAGCAATATACAATAAATAAATAATTAAGTGATGTTGACATGTAGGGAAAAGAATAAATTGCTTTTTTGTTCCCCTTCCCTATGAAGACAAAAACAAAAGAATATACTGGCACAAGGACAACCCTACATACAAATAATGAAATGGGGACAAGGACAAATTGTGCATGCGTGAGACCGAGCAATAGATATATAGAGATCAATATATTTTGTGTAATAAAAATATGAAGAGCTACAATAACTTAAGTTGTGTATAAATAATATTATTTAGTTTTGTACAAAAAGATGAAAAACGTAATGACTGCATTTAAACCACTCCAGTATAGGACCCCTTTATGAAAGACACTCTTTTTAAACAACACAGTTCTACTTGGTTTTACAAAAAGATCCCCTTCAACTGAACTATAAGTCTGGTGAGTGTGAACGGAAGAACAAGGTAAAAAGAAGGCTTGGATTTTTGTTGTGGTAATAAATTACGAGAGTATTTAAACATAAATTTGGCCAAATTAAAAGAATATCACCAAGTTTTAAAATATTCAGACTGGCAAAATAAAGGGGAAGTACGCTCAAGAAAACCTGCACCATGAATAATACGGATAGCTTTTTCTGTAACAAAAATAACTTATTACAAGCTGATATAGATAAACCCAAGGTTTATAGTGAGATATGATTTAGAACCGGACGTAACCAAACCATTGGGAATAAGATTTTTTGGTTTCTCATTTCACATTCTTCTGTTGTCCAAAATGGGACGCCATTAAAATACTGACCCTCAAATCCATCCATTTCTGAATATTAAAGCAAAAGCAAACATTGTATTGCCTTTAAACATCATGAAATCATTAAAATCCCGACAAAATTTCCTGAAATCACAAAAAACCTTGACAAATCTCTCCCCTCTTTTGCTGAGAAATAAAGCAGTAAGAATGTTTACTATCTTTAGTTGGTTGAAATTTGTTTGATTTTCACACACAAAAATACAACATGAATTCCACACCTACCTCTGTCCAACTGTTACCGTGACGACGTTATCAAGGTTCAGCTTGCACCACTGCTCGACGTCGTGCGTAAACGTGGCGCTGAACATGGCGCGTCGTACGTGGGTGGAGTCACACGCCCGGTAGATCGTCGCTAGCTGGTCCCTAAACCCTGCCCTGCCTTCCTCAAAGAGCTTGTCTGATTCGTCGATGATGAGCCACTCCACACTTAATGAAAACACAAATAATTTTTTTTTTATCTTATGGAATAGTTGTAGCTTTTTGAAGCCACTTTAGCTGTTTTTCTTTACATGACATCAAACTTTTAAGACCTGAAAAAGAACAAATAATTTCCATTTCATGAAGTATGGCACTTCTAGGATCTTTAAGCTTTCTCCTATGATGACATCACAGTTTTGCTCATGAATATGCAAACTGACATCAGCATAAGAACCCCAAAAGTCTTAAAAAGAATAACACTTTTTAATTTGTGAAGTAGTTACAGTAACTTTAAGTTTTTCCTACAATAGCATCACAGATTTGTTCTTGAATATGCAAATTGACCTCAGCATAAGGACCAAAATGTAAAGATCTGAAAAAGAGTAAAAAAATTTAGTTCATGGAGCAGTCACAGCATTTCCAGCAACTTTAAGCTATTTCCTACAATGACATCACGTTTGCTCATGAATATGCATATTGGCATCAGCATAATGACCTCAAAAGGCTTGAAACACCCCAAGAAATGCAACAATGAAGACAGAAAATGAATATTTATATGAATATATGAGTGTTGTTCATGTTGTCTAATTAAACAATTATCATTTTTTGAGCTCTTTAAATTTTAAGAAAAAACACCAAAACTTACTTGTTTAGTTTGATTCCTGGCGGTTCCTGATTCAGAAGAAAGACGAGTCTGTTGGGAGTGGTGACCAGGATATCTGCAGGAGATATAGCGCAAATAATATAACAAATTTTGAAATTTTGCAAATGTCTTTTTGTCCCCAAAATATGTCTGTCTAAATATTTTTGGAACAACAAAAACCATGAAGTAGATTTTGCTGGTGCCTAAAAGAAAACCCTTTCTTCTTAGAGAGTTGCAGACGCCCCAAAAAGACAAAAAAGAGTTTTTTGGTTGGGGTAAAGCATACAAGTTGAAAAACTATTGAGAGAAAAAAAAAAAAAGCCAAGAGAACTCAAATGACCATCAACTCACCAAACTTTTGAGAGGATTCAGGACCAAATTTCTTGACGGCTTTTGCCGTGCTCTCGATGAGGTGGACACGCAAGCCCCGCCCCTCGGCTAATCTCTGGAACTCCCGGTACGTCTGATTGGCCAGCTCGCGTGTCGGCGAGACCACCACCGCACGAAAGCCCTTCTTTTTTGGCTCCTGAAAATTTGAAAATGTCATGGTTCTTGCTTGGAGTCAGTCCGTTTCCATGTATTGCAACCTTATGCATATGCTGCTTTACGCAGAGTTGTAACCGTGTCAGTCACAAGTCTCAAGGCACAAGTCACAATTCATAGGTATAAGTCATAAGTCATAACTCATAAGACAAAGTCACGGTCACACGTCACATATTACAGTCACAAGTCACATATTACAGTCTCAAGTCACATATTACAGTCTCAAGTCGCAAATTTTTAGTCACAAGTCACAAATTAAAGTCACAAGTCAAGTCAAAAATCACAAATTACAGTCACAAGTCAAGTTTCAAGTTACAAGTCTCAGTCTCACGTCAAGCCACATGTCCTAAGCTAGTCACATGTCACAAGTTACAGTCACTGGTCAGTTCAAAAGTCTAAAGTTACAGTCACAAGTCAAAAGTCACGTGTCACAAAACACAATTACAAGTCAAGTCACAAGTTACAGTCACATGTCAAAAGTCACGAGTCACAAAACACAATTACAAGTCAAGTCCCAAGTTACAGTTACATGTCAAAAGTCACGTGTCACAAAACACAATTACAAGTCAAGTCACAAGTTACAGTCACATGTCAAAAGTCATGTGTCACAAAACACAATTACAAGTCAAGTCACAAGTTACAGTCACATGTCAAAAGTCACAAGTCACAAAACACAATTACAAGTCAAGTACCAAGTTACAGTTACATGTCAAAAGTCACGTGTCACAAAACACAATTACAAGTCAAATCACAAGTTACAGTCACAAGTCAAAAGTCACGAGTCACAAAACACAATTACAAGTCAAGTCACAAGTTACAGTCCCATGTCAAAAGTTACAGTCCCAAGTCAAGTTATGATTAACAAGTCACAGTCAAAGAACATAGTTGCGAGTCATGTCAAAGGTCACAAGGAAGTTACAGTCACAAGTCAGTCACAAACTTTCAAAGCAGTGAGCAGATGTCTATCATTTTGCCCTGTCTGACATTTTATAGAGGATAGGGACAATTTTAACACCCCTCCCCTAAAAAAAGAAATACTTTCTCACCTTCAAATGGGCAAGAATCGGAAGAATAAATGCCGCTGTTTTGCCGGAGCCAGTGGGTGCACAGGCCAATAACTCACGTCTCTGAGACAAAAGAAAACCAAATATTGTCTTTCAGAACTTGATTAACAAATACAAGTACATGTACATCACAAAAAAAGCTTATTTCAAAAGATAAAATTGTCATTCCGATTTTACATCAAGTAGTTTCGATTAACCCTCCTACTGTTTAAACAGTCACAGACTTCCCCTGCCATGCCTTCTGCACAGGCTAGTCAAAGTAAGATCATATTTGAAGCAAGTAGCTAAATTCAATCAACAGACAAAAGCAGGAAACTGTCAACACAGCTGTCTTATCAATCACCTACAGTCAAAGTATAGCTGTATCAAGTTATATAAACAGTCACAGCCACGCATACTGAAATTTGTATCCTTGTGGAGACATTTCTTTGTTCTCGTGTAGTAAAGTTTTCGAGTTTGAAAGTGTAGTTTCAAAATGCTCTTATTTCAACCAGAATTAATTTCCTTGGCTGAAGTTCGGACTTAATATCCCTTTTCTAAAATTCTTCCATTTGTGATGGATCAATCCACCTTGGAAATTCCTAGTTTTTGAGTTAAATCCATATATCTATTTCGTGAAAACCTTATGGAGACGTATTCATCTATAGAAATTGTCCTGTGGGGCATATACAACCTTTTGTTCCCTATTGTGTACATGTCTACAGAGGGCACGGTGTATCAGATCAGTCAATCCTGCTTTATAAAGGCTGGGAATGTTGACCTGCAATCACGATCAATAAATTGAAACACCCAATAATCATTGCTGGGCTTACTCACATGTAGCATGACTGGTATGGCCTGCATCTGTATCTGCGTTGGCTGCACGAACCCAGCACGGTGAATGTTCTCAATGGTGTCCGAGTGCAGGCTGTATTCATTCTGGAGAGCGTGGAATGTCCCCACTGGATCGGGAATGTCCGTGCCCCAAACGTGGATCTTGTGCTGCTTCCTGAATGCATTGACCTGCAATAACCAGTGCAATATGTTTCTTTTGTCAATTACAATTCCAGGTGGATCCAGTTTTTTTTGTTTCTGTTTTTTTTTTAAAATTTGTCTGACAGTGACAAAACTATTTTGTTTACATCTGGTTATAATTTTTATGACATTTTTGAGAAAACAATGAAACAGTAAACGTGTTGTACTATATGAATGGTATCTCTTTTTCATACTTTTTTCATTTCCAGGAAATCCATTTCGTTGATGAAATGTAAGAAACTTGACCGAGAGTCGAGTTAGCACAGTCATTATTATAACTCATGCTTTCTGCTTGATTTCATTAAAAGAGGAAAGTTATATCATAATTAAGTAATAAAAAATAAGCATTATAAACATACTTCCTCTCGTCTTTTCTGCTCCAACTTGTCAGCAGATTGCTTCTTATTTTCGTCCTTTTTTATCTTCAGTTGCAATGATGACATCAGCTGTAATCCGCCTCCATCTTCTGTCGTCTCCGCCTTCTCCGTACCTTTGCCGCCTATCTTCTCCTTTTTCCTCTTCGTGGATGCAGAATGTTCTTCCTCCGGCTTGCGTTTCTTTGCTTCCACATTTGTTTTGTTATGGCTTTGTGTGGCTGCATGCGCATTGACATTGTGCCCATCTTGAGGTGATTTTGGCAAACTCTTTGCAGAGCCAAAGATGTCCAAGGCTCTTTCGACTTCCTGTTTGGTGATCTTCTTCGACGTCGGTTTGATGACCTGGTGACAAAATTTGGCAAGAGAAAGATCATTTTTCAAAACCAGCATTGTCCAATATTAGGAACATCTTTCCGTAATTTAGGCTCATTCATTTTCCCTGAATGTCATGAATGTAAACAAAAATGTGACCATGAAAATGACATGCATCTCACAATCACAGATAGAAAGGAAAAAAAAAGACTAGTCCACACGGCGATGGCGCTATTTACAAGGTCAGTGTGAATTTTTTGTACCTATTTTTTATGGTAGTGGCTACTGTTACGGCAGCTGTAACGTGATTTTCAACTGCTATTGGAAACTGCATTTGCAAAAAAAAACATTACGGGTCTCGATCGGCGTATTGCATTTACATGTATAACTGCTCTTTTCAAGTTTCAACCAGAGTGCTTTAGTTGCTCGATTGGTTAAACATGCTGAAGGTCCCGGGATTGAATTCTCGGTTTGAACTTTAAAAAAAGTTTGTACTTTTATATATTTTCCTTTAAATATTTTCCTTAATTTTTTTGGTTTCTAATCAAACCTTACTTGTTTATATTAGGCCTAAAGCACATGTAAGGCCTAGGCCCTAGATTTCTGTTTTTTTTATTAGTGATCTGTTTTTTTTAAGGGAAATAAAACCATTCAGATAAGTTTGGTTTAAACTTTAAAGTGCCAAAAATCCTGACGTTGAACATGTCATTGCATGGTTGTCAAGGACCCAGACAACGTCGATGCAATTATTTTTTTCTGCAACCAAATATAGCCAATGACCATAATGCGCATGCATCAGTTAGTATTAAACGGAATGGTTCTCGGACTAGTACTTCCCTTTTAAAAAATCCTTCAAAGCCATGGATGAAAAGACAAGACTGAATTTCATTTAATTGATCATCAGCAGGAGCTGGTTAAACACAATTACGAGAACAAAAATAAAAGTCACATTTGGAGAAAAACAAAATTAAAAATTAACTTTATAAAACTCCCTGCACTCGCTCCAGGGAATTCATCACCTAGCAATGCCCGGAACCGCCAACATTAATCAGCGATTTAAAGCACACAACACATCGATGTGCAAGAACGTATTCCGAATCAGGTGACCCATTTGGTTGTTCACGTGATATGTTTCACGGTTCACGCATCTATCTGCATTCATTATGGTTACGGACTATACTTGGTTGCATAAACAAATAATTGCGTCCTGGCCGCACATGAAGGATAGCTAGTACGTCATGTACGTGACTAGCCCCATAAATGTGGCCTATTTTACTGGGCTGCCTCCGTAAACATCCTGAACATAGGCCACACATCCACATGTACAAAAACATGAAAAACGTGTCGCACTTTGCCAAATTTTGATTTTCACATTTAGGCTTAGTTTGTAGGTTTTTTTGGCTTTAGAAGCATACTCACCCTCTTTATAGGCTAATCAGAAAGTGCTGCCTTTTTTTCAGATGTCTATTTTTCGTGAAATTTCCAGATACATTTGCAAACGTTTGCGTATCAAAATTTCACAAGGCTAGTACGTGACAGACACTGTTTTTTTTTTTAATGTTCTACTTCTAATTTCCCAAGAATCAAATTTATTGAACCATGGAGGAATTCCTCCATGATTGAACAGAGGGATACATGATATACATGTATCTTGTTTCTTTGTATTTCTAAATTTTACCTGGAATTTTTCGGCATCACTTCTGAAACGCTGCAAGTCAAACTTCAACCCAGCACCAAGTTTTTTGAACAGATCCATGGAGGTCGCCATCTTGAAACCACGTTTTTTGTTTTTGTGGAGTACAGTAGGGCGCCACCAACAGTGCCTTTTCATGCTTTTTGCTGTCCCAAAACGAATGAGTTTTGTTTGTCATTTTGGTTTTTGGTTTTCCTTTTTGCTGTCCGAAAGGAGAATGATATTTGTTTTTTCTTTTTGCTTTTTAAATCTGTCTAAACGAGAACGAAATCTGTCTAAACGAAAACGAGAAAATAAATCGTAGCACTGAAACGATAACGATTCTGATACCTCGATAACGATGAGATCAATATCGTAGGAATCGCTCAGGGAGCGATTTTCATCGTAGTCTGGTTCCCCGCGATTCATCAGTAATAGTCAGAATCATTTGGTCTGGGAACCAGACTATTTTCATCGTACGATTTTAACTTTTAACCAATCAGCATTGAGCTCATTCTTACGTCACTATTTCGGCTGAATGTGGAAAATAAAAACAAAGATGGATGACGAAAAGTTGATCGTAGAAGTCGAAAAGAACATCGTTTTTGTACGATAAATCAAACCGAGGCCTCGGTTGCGAGGGTTTAAAGATACTGAAAAGAAGAATGAAATATGGAGGGACATTGGGGTGAGGTTGGAATGCAGTGGTAAGCATTTTATGGTGTTTTGTGTTATGGATTTTATTCTTCATTCAAGCGAGGGACGACCGCGTACATGGCATAGGCCTACGCGTAGCTAGCCATACTCACTAGCGTACGTCGCCCTACGGTGTAGCCTATAGGCTAGCCCAGGTTGGACTCCGTTGTAGGATGGGTTGCCATATTATCGAGGTACTTATCACGCTGTTCGGAATAGAGATTGCCCACTAACCTTTCCGCATTGTCCTGTCGTTTGTGTAGTATAACTCTTCCTTTTCAAATTGATATAAAAAATCCGACAGTGGTGTGGTTTATTCCGTGTACGATGCCTGTGAAAATAGACATGCTCGGAGTGTGCAAAGCCAAAGGGAGCGGTGGACTACGGTGTTCCCTATAGCATGTATAGTATTGTAACGGGCGCGAAATCACTGCTTCAAGTACTAAATGACTAGAGACTAGACAAGAATTCTGACTGGAGAGATCGTGTTGTTCTTCAAATAATGATAACGGTTTTATTGTCTTCCAATACTGTTGGCACACACCGTGCCCGATGCGTATAATCTAATGTCTATGTGGATAACGATGAGGCGGAGCGCCAATGTGCATTGCAATCGAACGTTGAGTACGACGCGCTCCTTCTTCTATGTGAAGTTCCTCACCGGGCCAGAACCAGTCACGATCTGAACACCGAGCCCTGACTTGGCTCGTCTTTTATAGCGTTTGGGCGCGTACATAACGCAAGGAGCTAGCGCATCATAACAATATGTCTCTTGCAATGCTCTGATTGGCCATAAACCACTGCGCCAAATAATATTCTTATTCATAATAATCATAGCGTCTTGACCTATAAAGCTTCGATGAATTAAACTTGTACAAGTCATTTCATTTAACAGGTATTCTACCATTAGTTTATCATAGGCCCTATTATCAGTACACAGTCAACTGTATTGACATTAATTCTTCTCATTTAAATACAAGTTAAACTTATCTTCTTATCTTCCGTAAGTCCTATCAATTAAGTTTATGAAAGGAACCTGTATCTTATCAGAGTGAAGAATAAAGTGTGCTTACTGGAAATTAATCATGACTTGCATTTTCGTTACAGTATTAAACTAACGTGGCGCACTTCGAAGCTTAACCGACTTTCCTCGTGTAGTGTTGCCAAACCTCTTTGTTGACAAACCTCAAATTCATGCAGTAAAATACTGGTACTCTTTACCTTATTAATGCTCGCTATTTAACCTCTGTGAACAATTTCGGTTTCATAAAATTTAATCCGATATTCAAAAACGGTGGCGTCCGGAAATTGGGCACAAATTGTGTTCCCTGACGTGGCGCACTTGAATACATCTCGGAAAATTCCAAATTAACATTTAAGAATTTCTGTGAACTTGATAAATTTTGATAAATAATTATTGTGTCTACTTACATACCCAGCCAGATGTTTGTCAGAAAATTATTTTCTTATTTTTCGGGGCATTTGCGTGGAGAGGGGGGGGGGGGGGGGGGGGGGGGGCAGCCCCCCCCCCCCAAAAAAAAAAGCAAAAACAAAAAGGGGGGGGGGAGAAAAAAAAAGAAGAAGAAAAAAAAAAGAGAAAAAAAAAGAAAAAGAGGCGCGAAGTCATAGAGGTGTACATTTAATGTTCGGGGAGGGGGGAGGGCAAAATGTTCCTGCCCCCTTTAAAACTGATAAATCGAGAATGTGTTGAGAAATACAGGCATTTTTTGGCAAAAATATGTTTTGCCCCCCTCTAGAAAAAATCCTGGCGACGCCCATGTTTGCACTTGAAAATAAAATCGGAAAATCACGCCAAAATAGATTTTTCTTCTAACTTTGTTATAAATAAATAAATAAACTCGCAATTTATGAACAGGAGTGTTTAGAACTTGATGAAATTTCACTTTCTGTGAAGTGCGCCATGTTGGGGGCCGCGCCACGTTAGGGTACATCAACAAAATGCTGGAAGTGGTTTTTATAATGATCTCAACTTTTTTATTCATAGTTAATGTTTGACCAAATCATCCCCTGAATAAAGGCTGATATTTTCCCTGTAACGTTCAACTTGATTAAAGACGAAATGTCTACAGGATGATTTTTTAAGACCCTGCCCTTCCCCTGAAAGAACACGAAATCACTGATGCAAGGCTACTGATTGGCGATTGGGGGCGCCATTCACTTTACACGGTGTGCAGTTAAATTTTTCGTCACCGTTTTCACGAACAGCCACATACTATATATATTATGTTGATTTTGAAGTAAAGTGTTTTCGAGATAATCACAAAAGAAGTTTCTCATATTTTAAAACTGCAAGAAATACTACTTTGCAACAACTTTGTGCAGTAAGAAAACCATCACACGATTCTACGTGAGCTGAAGTTTTACATAAACCCGGTAATAAGACTTAATAAAGCAGTTAATTAGTGGAAATTAATTAGTAAAGATATGTGGCTCTTTGTGAAAACGCAAATTCACGTTTCCGACATATTGGCCCTTTCTGTTCAACGTGTATTTCCATAGGCGTGCGTGAGTACGCGCGCGCGCCTGAAAATGTAACAAAGATATGTGGCTCTTCGTGAAAACGCAAATCTCATTTGACCTGGCTACTTTTACGTATTTCCGTGCAATGGGTTTTGTACGCGTTCAAAGGGCCAAAATGTATGTGGCTCTTCGTGAAAACGCAAAATGCAGTTATCGAGATTTCTGCCCCTTGCAACATTAATGTAACTTAGAAATTAATGATGTTTTGCTTACAGAAACATGTCAAAATGGTTAAGTACATTGTTTTAATGCGAAATATCGAAAAAAATCAAAATCGAAAAAAATTGTAATTTTGGAGATATGTGGCTCTTCGTGAAAACGGTGACGGTTTGTGCTTATTTTGATCCCCGTAAAACGTTTTACGATTTCGCGGTGCAAATATCGTCTTTTGACTTCATTTTACATTTGCAGCTGAAGAATGGAAACCATACAATGGAACTTTCATGGACAGAGCACCATTAAAAATTTATGTTACAATGCAGGCGGTACCTTTTAGCAAACAAGGTGAGGGAAAAGTTTGGAAAACGTTAATATTTATTAAAAATCGTTAAAAGTCCCGAAAGACACAACATTTCTTAATCGTCCTTTTTGTACAACTCGGCAAAAATCCTTATGACTAGAGAGCTGGATAAAAATCGCCACTTGCAGGAGTTTTGGCAGTGCAAAAAGAGAAATTCCCCATGCCGCGATAATAGGGATGCCGCGATAATAGCGAGTCAAACTATACATTATTTTCCAAATTGAATCTCTTTTTATTTTGACTTTACGACGTCAAAAGTACCGATGTCACTTTTCCTAGTTTCAGATCGGTTCAATCAGTTCCGAATCGATCAAAAACTGCTTTGCGCAAAAAAAACCAAAAAAATTTTTTCCTGTCAGAACTTACCAAATCAAGCATGTTTTTCGAAAAATTTTCGTCGATTCGCAGCTCCTGCCATTTTCTACAAACCGTCCAATAATGTCAAAGTGCGAGTCGGAAAACTGGCCAAAATTCCACTTCTAAAGGTTTTATCGAAAAGATCGTCGTGTATCAGGAAGCTTACATTTCCTTTTCAAAATGCACTTCGTTAGAAAAAAATATTGAAGACAAATCCAATTTGAAGAGGTAGGTTTTTATTTGAAGCTATCCGGAACTAGGAAACATCCAGAACTAGGAAAACCACTGTACAAAAAGTATTTCTTGAGTTATCGCTCAGAAACAAAGGAGTGTGTTGTTTTGTTCCATGAAAGTTGACTGTAAAAATAATTCCGGTTGTTTTTTTTCAGCTTAACACACACATTGTTTTGGTTATATTATTTTTTATTATTTGACGGCCCTTTTCTGGATATTTAGCAGACTATATTACGACCAACCACTAGAGGAAATTTCAGTGCAACACAACCGTACATGTAATTCTTGAGTTATCGTCCGGAAAACGAGTGTGTTGTTTTTTAGGCAGCTGGTTTTGCTCGGTCTTGACGAAAATTCTCGGTGACCACTATTTGTGTAGCGCGCCCTCTTTTGAATGGAAATTGACTTGAATTCGGCTTGTTGTTTTGGTTATATTATATTTTGAGTTTGACGATTTCTCTCGATATTCAACAGATCTGTGTTATATATTACGACCAATCAATATAGACGAATTCTCAATTCAATACAACAGGGATTTCTTGAGTTATCGTCCAAAAAAAAAAGGAGTGTGCTGTTTTTCCATGAAAGTTGACTGTAATTCAGATCCATTACTAACACAATGCATTGTCTTAAAAGTTGGCATCTGTTCTATGCAAAACCCCCTACACCGGGGGTTTGCGTAGAAAATATCAGACGGTTATTTATCACTCCCCATCACGTTCAATTAACTTTGGCGGCGACCGCAAGCCCCATTTCAAAGAAAAAGTTAAGTCATATTGGCTAATGGTAATGGCTATTATAGGCAGTAGTGACCACTGCTCATGCGGCGCGCCCTCTATTGAAAAACCGTCAAGGTAGTATTGAATGGGTAGGTAATTGCG